GTCTTCTCGATCTCTGCCTGTAAAATCAGTTGATACATGTTATTTTATGTAACATATTTTATTTTAAATAACCATGCAGACTTAAGTACTTTTTCCTGAACTGACTTATTATAATTATTAATAATAAACAATATTATTAATTACAGTAATCAATATATTATATACATTTGAACAAGTAATTAGTAAACAATACAAGTGTTTTTTAATTAGAAAAATATATCTTCTAGACCTGGGTGGAACTTTTTTACAATTTGTTCATGTACTAAATATAAATATTAATTTTTGCTAGAATGAGACAGGGTTTAGCATTGATTCTGTTCTTATTTTACATTTCTTTTCCTTTTTTTTTGAGGTGGCATCTCAGTCTGTCACCAGGCTGGAGAGCAGTGGTGCGATCTTGGCCCACTGCGAGCTCCACCTCCCAGGTTCAGTGAAGTATTTCCCTATCCTTCACTGCCGGGTACTGTGCTTTGCAGTCTATACACAGGCTAGGAATTTGGTCCCACAATCTACTGTCTCCATGTGGGAGAGCCAAGAGAGCTGGTGATGTAGCTTGAAAGCCTGAGAGCCAGAGAGCCACTAGTGTAGACTGCACCCCAGGTCTGAGGGTCTGAGAACTGGGAGCACTAACAGAAGGGGAATGTTCCTGTTTTAGCCCAAGCAGTTAGGCAGAGAGTGAATTCCACCTTCCTCCAGCTTTTTGCTCTATTTCAGCCTTCAATGGACAGGATGACACCCATCCACACTGGGGAGGGCCATGTGCATCACTCAACCCATGGATTCAGATTCTAACCTCTTCCAGAAACACCCTCACAGACACAGCAGAAATGATGTCTAATTAGCTACCTGGGCATCCTATGGTCCAGTCGAGTTAACACATAAGATTAATCATCCCGGTACTATTAGTGTTTTTATTTTACAGAAAAATAAATTGAACTAGAGTGAGGTTCAATAATGTTCTCAACATTACAGGTACAGTACAAAGAAAGGAATTACCAAGTCAAGGCTTAGACCACAGGTAAAGGTAAAAGTGCTACCATACAACAGGCTAGGCCATAGAGAGAGCCAATACAGGTCATAGAAGGCCACAGAAACAATGTGCTTGTGTTTTCTCCCTCTTAAACTATAAAATGTGTAAGAATGGAGACTACATCTTGTTTTTAATTGTACCCATGATACTTAATATATATTTTTGATAAGTTTTCATTTAAGTTTGTTGTAGTTGACAGCGTTCCTTGATCAAGAGACTAAAGCCCTGGAGCTGAAATGACAAACAGGTGTCATTCACACATTTGTGTGCCAGCACTAATATATGGTTAGCAACAGTCTGGACCACTGTCTGGCAGGATTTGGAGGCTTCTTTTAGGTAGGGAGATAAAAGGTCACCCACTGACTAAAAGCATTCACCATGAGCTTGGGATCAAATCACATATTTGTCAACCTAGACAAAAAGTGACAGTCCCAAAGCTAGGCTCCGGGGCATAGGTTAGAATTAGGTCATTTGTGAAACTTGGCACACCTGGGAGATGCACGTTAGAGCTTTAATTCCCTCCAGGTAACTGTTTGTGGATTAAATCCAAAACATTTATGCTGTAACATTTTATTAAGATGAGAAATTGAATCACACTGTTGAAGGACCTGCAATGGGTTAATACTGTCTCCTCAGCTGAACAGGAGAAATGCTTGCTGGCAAGAATTCGTACAACTGTGCTCCCAAACACAGGCTTAAACTAAGCTATGGGTGGCATAATGGAGGAAACAACAGATTAAGTCATGAGTTTAGACCAACTCACATACTCACAGCCCTGATTCACTTACAGCCCTGATATGGTATGAACCCAGGACAACTCACTCATGATCAAGCCAGGTTCAAGCCAGCAGGGCTTTGGTCTTGGTTCTGCTGAAAGCCAATCACTGAGATGCCAAGTATTGCCAAGGAAGAAGGCTTTAATCAGGTGCTGCAGCCAAGAAGAGGGGAGCTGGGTCTCAAATCCATCTCCCTGACTGACTAATACCAGGAGTTTATTTAGCAGGCAAGAAATGTAACAATGTGTAAGAAAACAGGAACTTGGGAGGGGCAAAGAAGCAGTCATGGTGAATAAGGGTTCAGCATCTGGTGCAATGATTTGGTTTCAATTCTTTGATACTTTTTGTGAGAGGCCTTTTCCTGAGGAAGGAACTCAGATAAATATAAGTTTCAAGCTTTTTAAGACCAAAAGGACCAATTTCTATGTTTATCAAAAACAACATCTATGGAGCAATGGGTTGGTTTCAAACCAAAAGCATTCCAGGACCTGGTGAAGATTCTTGGACTACCACATCTTAAAATTACCTTTGCATTTTGCTTCTGCTCCATTTCAGTTTCTATGAGGGTCCTTGACTTGAGTTTTTTTAATTTTTTATTTTTTCTGTTTCAGGGTTAGAATTTGCTATTTAGATGTGCTAACAGATGTCCTGGAAATTATTCTGTGTTGGAACTTAGCATCCCGTGTTATGACTACCTTCACTTTTACTTGGTTGTTGCTATGGACTGAATTGTGCCCTCCCCCAAATTTATGTGTTAAAACTTTAACCCCCAATGTGATGGCATTTGGAGATGGGGTCTTTAGGAGGTAATTACGTTTAGATGATGTCAGGAGGATGTGTCTTACTCTGTTTTGGCTGCTGCAGCAAATTATCCTAAACTAGGTGGCTTATAAACAGCAGATATTTATTCCTCACCGTTCTAAAGACTGGAAGTCTGAGATCACAGTGCCAGCATGCTTGGGTTCCGGGGAGGGCCCTCTTCTGTGTTGCAGACTGCCAGCTTCTTACTGTAATCTCTCATGGCAGAGAGCAGAATGACTCAAGTTATCTCAGGGCTCTTACGGGCACTAATCCCATTCTGATCCTCATCTATTCTTAGCTCCCAAATGCCCATCTCCTAATACTATCATATGGGGAGGTAGGATTTCAGCATATGAATGTTGGGGTATGCAAACATTCAGTTCATAAAGTTTTACCTCTGACTTCCAAAATTCATGTCCATCTAACATGTTAGATGGAAAAGACAACACACCAAAAGAGAAAGATAGATTTATAAATGTTGTATCAGATAGGGGTAATTCATTCAGAACGTATAAAGACCTTGTAACTCAAAAAAACCCAATTTAAAAATAAGCAAAGGACATAAATAGACATATCTCAAAAAAAAAACTGTACAAAAGGCCAATAAGCACTTGAAAAGATGTTTAATATGATTAGTCATTAGGGAAATGTGAAATCAAAATCATGGTGGAAAGCCACTGCATACCCAGTGGGATGGCTATAATCACACAAAAAGAGCAAGTGTTTGTGGGGATGTGGAGAAATCGCTCATATATTGCTGGTAGGAAAACAGTTTGACAGTTCCTCAAATGATCACATGACCCACCATTCAACTTTTAGGTATATATCCAATAAAATGGAAGACATATGTCTTTACAAAATTTTGTACATGAACGTTTATAGTAACAATATTCATAATAGCCAAAAGTGGAAGCAGCTCAGTTGTCCATCAGCCGATGAAGTGGCAAACAAAATGCACCACATACATGTTATGAGATATTCATACAGCCATAAAATAGAATGTAGCACTGATATATGCTACAACTTTTATGGACCTTGAAGCATTGTGGTGAATGAATGAAAAAGCCAGATACAAAAGGCCACATAGTGTATGATTTCATTTACATGAAAAGTCTATCACAGTCAAATCCATAGAGACATAAAGCAGGCTAGTGGTTTCCAGGGCTGGGGGATTAGAAGAGGAATAGGGACTACTTCGTGCTTATATGTGATGAAAACGCTCTAGCATGAGATAGTAGTGACAGCTGTACCACATTGTGAGTGTGTTAAAAACCGCTGCATTTGCACTTTAAAACGGCTAAAATAGTGAATTTTGTGTTATATGAAGAAAATTAATCTTGATAAAAAATAAATAATTTAAAAGGAGAGAGATTGTAATGGGCCATAAGTTAAAATAGTTATATTGATCTTTATGTATATTTTTATATATACCTCACTTTTTCTCAATACTATGCCAAAAAATCTCAATATTTTCCATTTAATTTAATTTAATTTTAATTTAGGAAAATCAAAGAACTTCATAATATTGCAGTTATAAAGAGGCTGAAAATAAATTGTTACCACTCGATATTATTTAATCATTTAATTATTAATTATTTAAAGTTAAGAGGGAGAAGAGAATACACATACAAAACCACAGGGAGAGTGATTTTAAAACTGTCTTTCATTTGCATTTCCTCTAATGATCGGTGATGTTAACCACGATGAGGTACCAACTCACGCCAGTCAGGATGGCTATTATTAAAAGTCAAAAAATAACATGCTGGTGAGGATGTGGAGAAAAAGGAATGTTTACACACTGTTGGTGGAAGTGTAAATTGATTCAGCCCTTATGGAAGACTGTGTGGCAATTCCTCAAAGACCCAAAGAAATACCATTCGACTCAGCAATTCCATTCCTGGGTATATATGCAAAGAAATGTAAATAATTGTATTATAAAGACACATGCATGTATATGTTCATTGCAGCACTATGCACTACAGAAAAAAACATGGAATCTACCTAAATTCCCATCAATAGTAGACTGGATAAAGAAAGTGTTGTACATATACACCATGGAACACTGTGCAGTCCTAAAAAAATGAGATCATTTCCTTTCGGGGCCATGGATGGAGTGGGAGGCTATTATCCTTAGCAAACTAATGCAGGAACAGAAAGCCAAATATCACATGTTCTCATTTATAAGCGGGAGCTAAATGATGGGAACACGTGGACACATAGAGGGAAACAACGCACACTGGGGCCTACTTGAGGGTGGAGGATGGGAGGAGGGAGAGGATCAAGAAAAATAACTAATGGGTACTGGCCATAATACTTGGAAGTTGAAATAATCTGTACATAAACAACTATGACACAATTTACCTATGTAACAAACCTATATGAGTACCCCTGAACTTAAAATAAAAGTTAAAAATAAAAACTTTGTGTGGATAAATTCTAAGTGATACAAATTATATTTTACCTATTATCTCAAACAGCATTAATGCAATATACATTTTAATTTGTTCATACTATTTTAGTCAATATAATAGATCTTGGCATTAAAAATCCCATTATGTGTAGGTTTTCCTTCATCTCATTAAATTAATTGTCTTAGTCCCCAAGGCTTATCATTTGTGTTTTGACCATCTTTTGAGTCTGGACAATTTGCTATGAATAATTTTACTGTAGCTCAACTCTTGTTCATACAACATATAAGTATTGTCCTCACTGCCAATTTTCAGAGATGCATATGTAATTTAGTTTCATTTTGTTTTCTACATTTCTCTGTAGTACTATGCCCATCAGAATGGCTCAAATACCAAGGAAAGTGTTACTGGTTCTCTAATGAGATGAAAAGTTGGAGTGACAGTTATGTGTATTGTTTGGAAAGAAAATCTCATCTGCTAATCATACAGGACCAACTTGAAATGGTAACTTGTCTAGCATCAGGGTTATGGCATTAGTCTTTTTGCAGTTAAAAATAACTTTCCTCAAATATCTTTCCATCTTTGCATTAAATCGTCATTTACCTTGATTATCGAGTTTTGAGCACCCTCTTAAAATCGGGCATGCCTCACTTCTCATGCTAGATATTGCTTAAATTCATATATTCAATTTGCAATTGTGTGTGTGTGTGTAACATATATATGATATAATGTGTGTATAAGTAAGGTATGAATTGATTTGCATAAAAATCGCCATGCAGAGTGCTTTTCTTTTTTTTTTGCAGTGAAATTTAAAATCTTCAGTGCCTCTGAATTGCTAAAATATTCTGCTCATTTAGTCCCTCATTGTCCACATTTCAGGCTTTTATACAGAAAAACCTAAGGCAATCAAACCACGTATGGATTGGGCTTAACTTTACCTCTTTGAAAATGACGTGGACTTGGGTGGATGGTTCTCCAGTAGATCCAGAGATGTCTTTCATAAAAGGCAATCTGATTTATTGTCTATTGTAGAATATGTCTCCAGAATGCACCTCTAGGTCCACCAAATTCAACTCTGAAATAGTTACTGCTACTGCAGAACTCGAAAGAATGAAAATTAGTTTAGTATTTATGGGAGTAATGATGAATATTTTGATTTGGTTCTTAAAGAAAAAGGATTTGAAAACAATAATGGCGATTTATGATTTTAAAATTTCTTACACTTTATATAGAAAAGTAGATTGTTGCAGTCTCTCTCTTTTTTTTTAGATGGAGTCTTGTACTGTCACCCAGGCTGGAGTGCAGTGGCATGATCTCAGCTCACTGCAACCTCTGCCTCCAGGGTTCAAGCAATTCTCTGCCTCATTCTCCCAAGTAGCTGGGATTACAGGCACCCACCACTATGCCTAGCTAATTTTGTTGTATTTTTAGTAAAGACATGGTTTTACCATCTTGACCAGGCTGGCCTTGAACTCCTGACCTTGTGATCCACCCACCTCGGCCTCCCAAAGTGTTGGGATTACAGGCATGAGCCACTGTACCCAGCCATAGTCTCCTATTTTTAAAGTTCCTAATGTTATCTTTAGCCATCTTCAGTAATAAAATAAAACCAATGTGCAATTTTTGTATTATGTAATTATCATAATGTTAAAATACAAACAATAAATACAACATAGAACAAGATTATCCAAAAGTCTCTGAACAGATGTATGGAGTTATTGATTTTTAAAGTTCCATCAACATTTGTGTGTGCTTTATTTTATAATAAAATATTTAATTGAAAATATAAATAGTAAAACAGGCAAATTCAAAATCCTATTCCTACATTAGTAGGCAAGATAATGGTTCCCAAATGTCCACATTCTAATCCGAAAATGTTGTGAATGTGTTATTTTATACGGCAAAAGAGACTTTTCAGGTATGATTAAATGGAGACTCTTGAGATAGGGATATTTTGCTGGATTATCCGTGTGGTCCCAATTAAATCACAAGGGTCCCTAGAAGAGGGAGGAAGTAGAATTAGAGTCAGATTGGGAGATATGAAGTGAAACACAGAGATTCACATGATGTGAAAGCACCTCTGTGAGCCAAGGCACGCAGGTGGCCTCCAATTCCTCCCTAGTGCACCCAGAAGGTGACTGCAGATACTTTGATTTTAGCCCTGTAGGGCAATCTTGGACTTCTGATATTCATAAGTGTAAGATAATAAATTAGACTTGTTTTAGGCCACTAAGTTTGTAGTAATTTGTCATAGTAGTGATAGAAAAAGAATACATTATCGTAATCGACTTAATGGTGCTATTGTGTTATTTTTCCCTTATTTCTATTTCATCATTAAATATCACATATTTTCTATCTGAGTGCACTAAGTCACATAACAAGTAAATAAAAACATTATTTGAAATGAAGTATAAAATTATGGATGTGTGTCATCTGAGAGCAGAGTTGTGTCACTGAACATCACGAAGTTGACAAACTTGCTTTTGTCCTCATGCCAAATCCATTCATCATTGCCTTTAGGGTTGAGTTTTAACTCTCGATCATGCCTAGAAATTTTTGTCCATAATGTTTTCAATACAAAATTTAAATCTAAACTTGGACAAAGTGTATTTTCTAATGTGAAAATTCAGTACTTGTCCTTATCAATTTGGAAGCTTTGAAGATCATGCACACCTTTTCCAAGGTTCTTTCTTGAACTTTTTCCACAGGCCAAACAAATTTATCACAGAATATATCATTAACACTACATTATTTTATAGATAACTTTGTTAACTTTTTTTTTTTTTTTTTTTTTTTTTTTTTTTTTTTTTTTTTTTTTTTGGAGGCGGAGTTTCGCTCTTGTTACCCAGGCTGGAGTGCAATGGTGCGATCTCGGCTCACCGCAACCTCCGCCTCCCGGGTTCAGGCAATTCTCCTGCCTCAGCCTCCTGAGTCGCTGGGATTACAGGCACGCGCCACCATGCCCAGCTAATTTTTTGTAGTTTTAATAGAGACGGGGTTTCACCGTGTTGACCAGGATGGTCTCGATCTCTTGACCTCGTGATCCACCCGCCTCGGCCTCCCAAAGTGCTGGGATTACAGGCTTGAGCCACTGCGCCCGGCCTCTTTGTTAACATTTTTAATTATGTTACATTATAAGTGAATAATGCAATAAATATGCAATTTATTATTTAGGTCATACATAGGTCGATTTGTATATTGAATTATTTACAAACATCAATTCATATAACTGCTGTAACAATATCATGAAGTATTATTATCATCCTTATACAATCAGATATAAGAAGGCAAAAGAGGTTGTTAAGTGAGCTGTCCAAATGGAGTTAATCTTATTTTTTAATCTAACTGAACCATGTGGGCCAAGAAAAGTAATACTAGAATGGGAATGTGGAGGGAAATTTATTCTTACTGCTGTTATTTGCAGACTCTCCGGCAACTCTTGACTAACCACAGGTAACAAGGCTAAGTTACAGAGTTATTGTAAGTGTTAGTGAATCCAAGTATGTAAATATGCTTTAAAATTTTGAATTACGTTTTTATTTAAAAGAGGATATTAGTGGAAGACACAAATGGATGTCTTCAGCAACAATGATTAACAAAGCATTTATTCTCTCTTCTCCAGATTCTTCATAAAGGGACCAGCTAAGGAAAACCGCTGTGCTGCCATTAGGGCAAGCAACATTTACTCTGAAACCTGCAGCAGTGTTTTCAAATGGATTTGCCAGTATTAGAGTTTGACAAAATTCATAGTGAAATAATCAATGATCACTATTTTTGGCCTATTAGTTTCTAATATTAGTTTCAAGGTGTAACATTTTAAAATGCAATTAAATGCAAAAATTTCTTCTCCCTTCTCCCTCCATCATTGACATCAGTCTAACCTCAGAGTAACCCTGTTAACACATTAAAATGTACCCTTCAAATTTTTTACATGATAGTATAAACCAATGTGACTTCATGTAATTGTATCCAGGATTTCTATTCATTGTTTATTTTATTCCAAATGTGATCAAATGATGCCTATTTTTCCTGTATCTTGGCTTTTTAAATTCTTAATAATGTCCTAAGCAACATTTCTTATATTTCTAAGGGTTGAACCATAATGTGGATTTATACATTTGTTACCCTTTTATCAAAGAGAATTAACTGTGTTTCCTGGCTGATGCTACTCTGCACTCAGCTACAAAAAACATCCTGAATATATTCTTAAATAGTAGCACCTTTATTTCTATGATATAAACCCTAAAAGTAGAATTTCTAGGTAAAAGTGTTAAATGTGTTGTTTCATATTTTATACAATTTTTATATGTTGCACTTTTATTTTCAAATTTAGAAGCTTTCAAACTTATAAGAAGATATTAGGTGCAGAAAAAGAATATACTGCTTTCCTTGAACCTCTTGAGAATTAGCTGCCAAATCGATGCATTTTATTATTACGTTCCATTTGTTATTGGATCCTTTCTGTGTATTTCCTTCTGAAAAGAGGCCTTCTCCTACGTAACCACAATAACATGAAAATCAGCAAATGGACATTGATATAGAACTATCATCTAACTCCCAGACTTCCTTCAAGGTTTGCTATTTATCAAAATAATGTTTCTTAGAGTAAAAGCATCCCACTCAGAATCAATGTCTGCATTTGGTGACTCTATCTCTTTGGCCTCCTTCAACATAGAAGAGTGCCTGAGCCTTCCTTGACATTCATGACCTTGACGCTTTTGAATATTGCACACTGGTTATTTCGTAAAATGTTCTTCAGCTGAAATTTTCTGATTGTTTCTCATGGTGAGATTCAAGTTGTATCTTCTTGGCAGAAATGGCACAGAAGTGATGCAGTGAAGCTTTGTTCCGTCTGCATCCTTTCAGGTGGCACACAGCTTTATTTGTTCCATTAATGATTACATTTATTTCATTCACATGATTGATATCATTTCTGTTTGAATTCACTGTAAAGCTATTATTTTCTCATTATAATTTATTCACATTTGGGGGCGTGAGTGAGATGGCCTTAATATTCCCTTCAGCTTGGGGCTAAATTCTTTTTTTTTTTTTTTTTTGAGACAGGGTTTCACTCCGTCACCCAGGCTGGAGTGCAATGGTATGATCTCAAGCACACTGCAACCTCTGCATCCCGGGCTCAAATGATCCTCCTGCCTCATCTTCTCAAGTAGCTGGAACTGCAGGCATACGCTAGCATGCTTGGCTAATTTTTGTATTTTTTGTAGAGACAGGGTTTCACCATGTTGCCCAAACTGGTCTTGAACTCCTGGACTCCAGCGATCTGGACACCTCGGCCTCCCAAAGTGCTGGGATTACAAGCATAAGCCACTGAGCCTGGCCTTGAGGTTAATTTCTAAACAGATTTCTTCTCAACTATAGGTCCCTAGTCTCCCTTTTCTTAGAGCATTTACTTTAGCAAACTTATAATAATTGTAAATTTTTACTCTACCCCTTTGACATATCAAACTCTATCAGATTTCATAACCCGGGAATATCTTTCTAAAGGACCTGGGAGCCATCCTTTTGAAATGTAATTCCCAAGGATGATAGAGCCCCTATTTTCCACTCTCTGTGGGAGGGTAGGAATCTAACTTCAATGGGACACCTTGCTTCACTTTATAAAACTACCACCTGTCACAGGATTTGTCAATGTCAAATAAAATATAGAGATGAATCTCTAGGTTTAAAATGTTTTGATTAGAAAGTAAGAATTGTAAATTGGGGCACATATAGCAACTGATAGTCTTAAGTATATCCAAAGAACAAAGAGAAGGGTGGAGGATTTACTAAAAGGAGAAATGTTATTTATTGCTTTGAAAGAAAGCATGTTGGCCCTAGTAAAATTTTGGGGAGCTGGCAAATTCTGATTGGTGAATGACAGTAGTAGGTGAAAGTAGTCTTAGAATCACAATAGGTTATTTTAGTAGCTATTGGAAAAACTGGTTTTAGGCTACACCAGGCAGTTTTAGCAGCCAGGCTTATAGAAAATTAAATTTTGGGAGCAATGATATGTACCTTAAGTGCTTCCCGCGCCCCCCCCCCCGCCCGCCGCCCCGGCCTGCCTACTCTGCTTTGATTGAGTAGGACAAAATGACCTAATTTATACGATCAACTTTTACAACTTTCTCTTTTATTCAAGATCTCTTTCTGAACGCATTCTTAGTCAACCATTTTGAAGTTAGGCTTAATTACCTCTGGTGCCAGGATAGACCTGTCTTGGTTGTCTCTGTCTCACGTGAGAGGAAGGTATGAAAGTCTATGTCAGGGATCTGGCCCATGTTTGCTCAACAGAAAGACCAAAATAAAAAAAAAGTTTGTTTGGAGTCTAGCATCTAGTTTTATGAGTATTTTAACACTTTGTCATCAGCAATCATCTCAAAGCATTGGGCCAATGTTTCGTTGGGGCAGATGGCTTCATAATGATTTAATATGAAATTAAGAATAAAGCTTAAAAAATCATAATATAACAGTAATTAACAACAATATAACAAGTTTAGTTTTTATAATGCTTTCAAATTAAAACTAGACAAATCCAAAGATCTAGGACCTGTCTGTAGTCACTGGGTAGCATTTTGTGACTGGATTGAATTAAACCAGAGAATGTCACCTTTGTAAGAGAGACTACTAATACAATTTGAAGAAAAAGTTGTGTTAGGAATGTTGTCAAAGCTATTCACTAGATTTACTAAAAGAATTTCTTAGGTCAGGTTTCGTCAACTTATCTAAAACAGTTACGAATTGTAAATTTTAATTACTATGTTATCTTGCCAAATGAAAAACCTTAAGGAGGAAAACGTGTACTGTTTTGTTCCTCCTGGTGTGGAGTTTTGCTCCAATATCTTGGGAAAAGCTGATGACAGCATGAAAAAAATCAACTTTTCATCCCGGTTTACAGTTTGAATGTCTCTGATTACGGCATCCGGTGGTTTGGTAAACTTTTTGTGTGATCCATACATTAGGCACAAGATGTGTTTTTAAAATTTATCTAGTTTCAGCTTATTGGGCTTTAGGAACGGAGAAGTTCTCATTTTTGTACTTTGATGCAAAAAAGTTGGCTTAGAGGAATGTAGAATAATTTATGGCTTTGTCTAGTCTAGAGATGGATAACACGAACTCAGAAACAATGTACAGAGTTATGATCTAACAACAGATGTATTATGGTTTTTTCTAGAAATGTAACTTCTTTTCTACATTGATTAAACAGTATTATCAGATTTTAAAACCTCTTGAAGCTAGAAAGCCAAACTAAGGCAAACTTTAGATTTTATTTACAGTCTTAAGGTCTTTGGGACTCCTAGGAAGTAACAGTTTTTATATACTCAGTGTAAGGCTGTGAACCTTCAAAGTTAAGCATGATATGGATATTGTTAAATATGACGTTTCAGACAAAGCCTTGGTAATGTAACCTATGTTTTTAACTGTATTCTGCTATTAAGATAGAGCAGAATTTTATTGGACTTATGTAAATAGCTTTACGTAAATAACCATATTGCCATAAGAATACCAACAAATACATTTTAAAGTTTTGAAGGAATCAAGTAAGGAGAAAAAACAGCAAATGCTTTTATCTTTTTAAACAAAAGTATATTTTATCAAATTACTGTAAATTATAGATAGCGTAGGAGAGAAACTTTCTTTATACCTGAAAGACAAAACATTTGAGTAAAAACAACCTTTCACATAAATGACATAAGAACATGATCAGTTCCAATGTTCTATAGTAGAGTAGGGTGACTATAGTTAACAATGATGTACTGTATATTTTAATATATCTAAAGAGAGAATTTGAAATATTCTCGGCCTGGCGTGGTGGCTCAAGCCTGTAATCCCAGCACTTTGGGAGGCTAAGGCGGGTGGATCATGAGGTCAAGAGATCGAGACCATCCTGGTCAACATGGTGAAACCCCGTCTCTACTAAAA